GGTTAGCCTCTTCAGTATCCAAGGCAGAATTAGGAATGTTAGGAAGGCCATACTTGGGTGGCTTCCTACAATTTCCCATAATTCTGCTAAGGAAATTGATAAGTTCAAGGGGTATCTGTTGGAGTGTGAAGCCCTTGGGGAGGATAGAGACTCGGATGAGTGGAGAAGCTGTAGAAATATGTAGCATGTTGCTTATAAAAAAGAGGAAGTTTTTTTGGCAAAAAAAAAGCTAGAATTAATTGGTTAAAATGTGGGGATAAAAATACCAAATTCTTCCAAGCTTCTGTGAAGCAAAGAAGCAGAGGTAATTGCTTAGACAAATTGTGTAAATCTGATGGGGCTAAATGCAGTAGTGATAAGGAGACTATTGATGTCATTGAATCTTATCTTGACCACCTGTTTAAAACTTCTAACCCAAGATTAGCTAGTTGCAGTCTAGAGGGCATCCCATCTTCAATTTCTCAGAATATGAATGACAAACTTACTGAGAATGTTTCTGAGAAAGAGATATGGGAAGCACTTTGTGATATGCATCAAGATAAAGCCCCAGGGGAAGATGGGTTAACTTTTGGGTTCTTTCATAGCTCCTGGTCCATTATCAAGGATAAAGTGTGTGATGTTGTGTCTAATTTTTTCATTAGTGGCAAAATGCCCATTGGTATCAATCATCCTATAATCACTATGATTCCCAAAAAGAAAAACCTTGTCTTCATAACTGAGTTTAGACCTATAAGCCTGTGTAATGTCATTTACAAGCTGATAACTAAAATTTTGGCTAATAGGATTAAACCAGTCTTGCATGTGTGTCCACTGCTCAGTCAGCATTTGTTCCAGGTAGGCAAATCCTGGACAATGCCATCATTGTCAATGAATGTATCCATTATATTAACAGTAAATGACTGGCAAAGATAGGTTTATGGCTGTCAAGTTGGACATGTCCAAAGTTTATGACCAAGTAGAGTGGGAGTTTTTAGCCAGTGTGTACTAAAATGGGGTTTTGTAATAAATTTGTGAATTGGATCTTAGCTTCTGTGTGTTCCACTACTTTCAGTTTTAATGTTAAGGGTGCTAATGTGGGATTTGTCAAGGCTAGTAGAGGGTTGACAGGGGGACCCTTTGTCCCCTTATTTGTTTATCTTAGTCTCTGAAGCATTCTCCAACCTGATTTGTCAAGCTAGGTCCAATAGAGTTTTTCAGGGTATTAGAGTTGGTAAGGCTGCCCCTGTTATTTCCCATTTGTTCTTTGCTGATGACTCCTTATTGTTGTGTAAAGCTGATTCCCAGCATGCTCATCTGATTTTGAACATCCTTCATGAGTATGGCTCTGCATCTGGGCAATGTGTGAATCTTAGTAAATCTTCTGTCTTTTTCTCAAAGAACTATGAGGATTCTCTCAAACCAGAGATGTGCTCTATTCTTCAGGGGGTTAACTTTGTGCAAAAATCAAAATACCTTGGTCTCCCTTTGGGAATAGGCATGTCTAAGAGAGGGACATTCCAATTTGTGAGTGAGGCAGTTAAAAATAGAATCTCTAATTGGAAAATATGTATTTGAATGAGGCTGGGAGAGAAACTCTTTTGAATTCTGTGATTGGGGCTTTTCCTACATATATCATGTCATGCTGCAGAATCCCTCTGACAGTATGTGATGATATATGTAGGGAATCTGCAAACTTCTGGTGGGGAAAAAAGAGGATGGGGGTGGTAACAAAATGCATTGGGCTAGATGGATAGGTTAGCTCATTCTAAGGGGGAGGGGGGATTATGCTTTAATGATTTGAGAGCTTTTAATGAAGCACTATTAGTTAAGCAAGTTGGAGAGTGTTGACTAGACCCAACTTGCTCATGAGTAGGGTAATTAGAGGGAGATATTTTCCTAAGAGCGGTATTTTGGATGCTAAAGCTAGGAGTGGGGATTCCTGGTTTTGGAAATGTTGGATGGGTGTTAGGAATTCTCTTAGATTGGGGACTAGATATAGGATAGGGGATGAGAGAAGTGTTAACATTTGGGATTCTCCTTGGATACCTGGTATTCTTGGATTTACCCCTAAATGCAGATTTGTAGAGGATAGAGATAGACTAGGAAAGGTGAGAGATCTTATGGGAGACGAGGGGTCTTATTGGGATATGGAGTTAATTAATCACACCTCTAATCACCAGACTGCTAAGGCCATTATCAATATCCCTATTAATGCCTCAGGCATGAGAGATAGATTGGTTTGGCATGGGCACAAAATAGGAATGTTTTCAGTTATGATTGCTTATGAGGTGATCATGAACAAGAAGAAGAGTCTTAGGGGAGGGGAGGAGGTAGTAACCATGTGCAGATTGAAAGAATATGGAAAATTACTTAAAAATTGCCTATTCAAAAAATAAAAAATTTTCTTTGGAGATGTTGGCATAGGTTTCTTAGTACTAGGGTTCAGTTGAGTAAGAGAGGGATTCAGTGTGAGAAGATTTGTGAGGTTTGTGGTGAGGGAGAGGAAGACATGAACCATCTGCTTTTTCATTGTCAGAGAGCTAAGAAGTGCTGGAAACTTCTAGGGGTGTCTTGGGAGGGAATTAGAGATTCAGGAGCTCATTTTCGGGTGTGGTGGATTGACATTTGTAATGCTTCTAAAGCCATCAATATAGTAGACAAAATCAGCTTATCTACCTATCTATTGTGGTGACTTTGGAAAACTAGAAATAGTTGGGTGTTTGAAAAAAAATGGGTTAGTGAGGATAGAGTAGTGCAATGTGTTTGGGATGAGTGGAACTATTTCAATTCTTGTCTGGGGTTGAGCAGTTTGGGGGAAGGAAATGAGAGTGATGAGGGTAGAACAGGGAGAATGGATTGGAGTAAGCAGCTAGAAGAGAGAAATGGCAAGGAAGAAAGCACAGAGTCTGAGGGCTGTGTTCAAGTAGCTGTGAGTTGCTGGATTTACAATGGCAGGCTCGGGATGGGAGGTAAGGCTCAGAAGCAGAACAAGGTAATGCAAATGTGGGATGCATCTAAGGATTTTAGAGGAAATTCAGTGGAGACTCACTTAGCAGGACTTTGTTGGTAATGAACAAGGCTCATTTGCATAAATGGAGGAAGATCACTTGCTTTGTGGACAACAAGGAGATGTGGCAGAGGACTCAAGAAATGTTGGGAGGTCAAGTGCATAGAAACAGTGTAATTGGGATCTTCTTAGATTTGTTTAAATGCTTTCAGTCTTGTAATTTTGTTTTGGATAAAAACTTGTATAGGGAATGTAATGACTTAGTCAAAATGACTCTCCAAGGTGATTTGTAGAAATCATTATTTGGTAGCTCTAGCTTGTGTCTTTGCTAGTCAGGACCCCATCCTATTTAGTCCTAAATTTGTAAGACTATTTTGCTTGAGTAATCTATATTTGTTTGTCAGTTGCAAAAAAAAAGAGGTAGTATGAGGTGCAAATTCATCTTGAGCCAAACCTTTTAGCTCAACACATACGCCCAAATACAACGGTAAGACTAAAGCCGGGCCCAAGTACTTTGTGAGAATGGGCTCAGAAAATATTGGCCCGCTTAACAGTTTTACATATAAATTAACAACTCACTCTCATTCTATTTCTCCCCAGTCAGAAAAAATCGAGCGGAGGAAAAGAAGCTTTTCAAATCAATTTCAATGGCGTACGCTTTTTATTTGACAACCATTTCCGTTTTACACCTGATTTTATTCTCTTCATCAGTGTGCGGGGACGGCAATTCTCCATTTATCGTGGCGCATAAAAGGGTTTCTCAGAGAAAGCTGAAATCGGATCTGGAACGGGTCTCCGTATCCATCGACATCTACAACACTGGATCCGAGTACTCACATCTTATCCATCTCTTGTTTTAGTGTTATTCTTTCAGGTTTACTGCAAAATTGTGAGCCTTGGCGAGGTTTTGTGTGTGTGTGTGTTGGTGTGTTTCTCGGTCTGTGAGCCAAATGCTTGTTTCTAATTGTATGCCTTTTGTGATGGAGAACATAAATGTTGAATGTTTTTGTGTTTGATTTGTGTGTGTGTGTGTGTGTGTATGTGTGTGTGTTTCACTTGTGATGGCTTATTTTCAGAATGCATGTTCCGATCCTGTTGTTATGGGGAAATGCTACGGTCCCGTTACAGAGTCATTCCGTCGGGGTTTGTAACCGTTAGATCATCATGTAACCGTCGGGGATAGTTGATCCAACAGTTACAAACCCCGATCGAATGGTTCCGTAACAGGACTGTAGCATCTCCCGTTGTTATGATGCCAATACCAATAACGCATTTTTAATTTATTTGTTTTGTTTTATAATTTATGTTCAGGACGCCCGTATAAAAATTTATTTATGGGTTGATTTCTTTGCTTTTAAAATGCTTGTTGCAAATTGGGTTTTGTTTCTTAATTTGTTATGATATTCTTTTCAAGGTATGAAAAGTTTTTAATTGTTTTATGTTTAATGTATTTGGTTTTACGAGTCCTGATTGTTTATGTTGTCTTTTTGTTAAATTTCATAGCCATTCCACCAATCAATTTCCTTTTCAGTTGTTTTATCCTGATAAAGTTTGGATTAGAAAAGCTGGTGTATGATTTTCTTTTGTTTAATTAGTGTTCATGGAGACTAGCTTATATTATATCATATTGCTGCCTTTTTTTTTATTTTAAGTTATATCATTTTACTTCAACCTATGATCACTTGTGAAAGAGTGAAACTTTCTTAAAATGAAATCTCAGTGCTATTTTAATGCTGTTGTTCTTCTCCTTTTGATGTTCTCTCTTTCCCCTGGTTCAGTGGGGTACTCTGTTGCCCTTTTGGACCTTGTATTGGGTTATTTAACCCGGGTTGTATATTTCTTTTTCGAGTTATAAAATCTACCGATTCGGAAAAAAAAAAAAAAATCTCAGTGCTATATTTCCTGTAGATTGTATGTATTCATATAATCTCGGAAGACTTTATTTGATCAAGGATTTATAGGATGTCATTGAGATTTTTCATTTATGCACTTCAAGATTTTGACAGTCTATGAATGGTCTTCTGCAAAATGCAAATCTTTATCTATCAGTTCCTTTAGAACATCTATATGTCAATCTCCATTTTGTCATGAGTCTTCGTATCATTTACTTCTCTCTGTATTTTGTTTCTTGCAATGATATTTCACTGTCAATGCCATTTGTGGAAACTAATAAATTCTTCTCTATTGCAGCACAGCATATGACGTGACCCTCACTGATAATTCTTGGAACCAAGAGATTTTCGATTCTATTATTGGCAATACATCTAAGACCTGGGATAGACTTGATGCGTAAGCTTCTAAATTTTTAGAATTGAAGGATTTTAAGAGTTCGTTCTACACTTTCGTGTTATATTACTTATAAAGTGATTATTTTCATATATTTATATCAGTGGTTCTATCGTGTCACATTCGTTTGAGTTGGAATCGAAGGTGAAAACTGTTTACTATGGGGCACCTGCTTTGATCAAGTACCGAGTTCCGACAAAGTCGAAGCTTCAGGTTTGTTTTTCCTCAAACCTAAATTTCTAACAACAGTTGGCTTGTTACAATACTGATTCTCTGATTATTGTTTCAGGAAGCATATTCGATCCCACTTCTGCCATTAAACATTCTATCCGAGCAAGTCCCCCAGAAAAAGATCGAAATTGTAATATTCTTCTTCTCTACCATTAAGACTATAATTACTATGAAGCATTTTGTATCCTAGCGCAGTATTTATTTTTTGTCAGCTGGTACTGATTGTATATTTTTGCTTTTCTCCGGTACCCACCCTCTATCGCCTTCGTGGATGCAATTATCGTGCGGCGTACAAAAACTTTCAGGCAAAGGTAATGACCCTTTTTATTAGGTTGAGGAATTATCAATAGTCTCATGTCAGTAAAACCATAATCATCAGGCGTAGAATGTTGGTATTCTGTTGGTGTCATTTATTGAACTTGGATTGTGAATGTCATTTATTTTCCTGATTAAATAGTTTTTGGATTACAGAATCTAACCTCTACAATATAGCCTAATCTCCATACCTCCACCACCCACCAATTCCATAAATAAAAGTAAAAAAAAAAAAAAATCAATGGCCTTTAAAAATACAATTACCTTCTTGTATATTCATACACTTATTAACAAATTGCCCTTCACTAGGTGACGAGAATGTTTTAGATTTCGAGAATGAGCTCTACTTCATTTATGTAATTAAGATTAATGTTACCGTTGGTAGGTCTCATTATCTCATTTTAAGTTATTACTACATCCAGTTTTCAAATATATTTTGAACGTTTCGCGTGCTCAACGCATTTAGGGGTCTCACTTTGTGATATATTTTTATTTTTTCTTGTGCAGAGATTGCTCTCAAATTATGGATCACATATTTCGGTATTCCTCATAGTCGCCCTCTTTGCGCACATCCTCAGTGCACCGAAAGCCAGTGGGTCCAAGAAAAAGCACTGAATGACCCCTACAATGTTACCATTTAGGATTATTACAAGGCTAAAAAGACTGAGCCACTACCGGTTTTGCTGCCATTATAGATTTGACATACACACCATCAGTGAAGAGGGAATAAGGCCTAACCAAACACAGTGAGACACTGGTAATAAAAGTTTTTAAAAATGGTTTCGAACTTTGAACTAGAAAATATTCAGACGATTGTCGGGTTCGTTTTAACATCAATCCATATGTTCTGTATTGTTTGCTGTTTGGTTTTTAATTTTGAATATGCATGTGGCTTTTAGGCAAAATTGAACTCATTGAGATATAAAAAGATGGAAAGTATATGCATCAATATCAAGTTTTTTGTTTAATGCAGATGTATCCTTTTCATTTTATGTGTGAAGAATGAATGTTGAATGTGAAAAACTGCCGTCGATAATGGTGGCTTATTGCTACTTTCCAATTAGATTCCTTTTGGTAAGTAAATCATGCAAACGATATGAGCCGAGCCAATGGGTTGAGCTTCGCTCGTTAACTTAATGAGTCAAATATCATGTTCGAGCTCAGCTCGTTTATAAATAATATTAACGAACTGAATTGGAACTGTAAAGATGATCCAAGTTAATAGAAAATTATATAACACTGAACTCTTCTACCTTCAGAATGAAACGAGGAGGCTCACAAGCGGCAATTAGAAATAAAAATAGGTGAATTTTTTTACACAAGATACTAAAGAAATTGCAATCCTGGGAGAGAATGATTTTATTTGCATATGTACATAAATAAATGCATTTAATATGGGTGATTAATAAAAATCAATTACCAAAATAACAGACACCCTATAATCAATTACCAAAATAACAGACACCCTATAATCACGCCATTTAACTGTTTGTTTTGAAGAAAAAATAGGAAGTCAAAACAAACTAGAATTTTGCTGCTATATACACGATATGTTTTTTTTAAAAAAAAGGAAAAGATCAGATTTTGAAAAAAATCCGTCGTCTCAAATCGATAATATAGAGTTTATACATAATATATAAAGAACATTTAATATGGGTGATTAATAAAAATCAATTACCAAAATAACAGACACCCTATAATCACGCCATTTAACTCTTTGTTTTGAAGAAAAAATAGGAAGTCAAAACAAACTAGAATTTTGCTGCTATATACACGATATGTTTTTTTTTAAAAAAAGGAAAAGATCAGATTTTGAAAAAAATCTGTCGTCTCAAATCGATAATATAGAGTTTATACATAATATATAAAGAACATATACACAAGTTACAGAAAAATATATAAGTCCGAAAAATATATATAATATATGCAGAACATATACACAAGATATACAGAAAACATATAAGTCCGAAAAATATACAACTATCGAACATATACACTATACAATATATACAAAAATTAGTCCATATAACATATACAGAAAAATGATCGAACATATACACAATAAAAAGGCAGTATATTTGTCTGAAACATATACTGAAGATATACTCATTATATACAAAAAAATAAATCAATGTTGTTATTATATACATACATAAGATATTTACCTCTGCCGATTTAGCTTCTATTGTACCACACAGGCCTTTCAAATTGATGGAGATAAAGTTGTCCCCTTAACAATACAGTTAGATAAATATCTCTAAATCCCAAAAAAAACATCGTAATAAGCAACAAATTGCGAGTACAAATCAATTCCCAGGGAAAAAAAATGCAGCCCCGCCGGTCCGCGTCTGGTGGCTCGGAGGTCAGGGCTCGGATATCGTGGCTCGACGTCGGAGATTGAGGCTTACGAAGGTCGGAGCGCCGTCGGAGGTCGAAAGTCTCTAGAAATTGAAGCTTGATCACCGGTGGTTCACGTATATTTGGTCGTGGGTCTGTTTTGCGTGTTTGGATTCGACTCGTCGCGACATGAGTGGACGGCTCTCGTGCACGCTGGGATTGACGCTCTTGGTTCGGTGGAGTTTGGTGCTGTTTTTTTTTTTTTTTT